GGAAACCCAAGGAGGGGTCGCTATGAGTCGGGGGCGACTCCACGGCAAATAACAACAACAACAACAACATATGTTTTGCAAATAATTTGTTCTGTGGGTTGTCTTTTCACTTGATCATTTCCTTTGAAGCACAAAGCTTTCTCATTGTCATGAAGTCCAGTTTATCTAGTTTTGTTGTTATTATTGCTCTTGGTTCTGATATCACATCTAAGATACTTTGCCAAACATGATGTCATGAAGATCTACTACCCCTGTATTTCCTTCCAAGAGTTTTGTAGTTTTAGCTCTTATATTTAGGGCTTTGATCCATTTTGAGTTAAATTTTGTATATGATAAAACCAAAAAACCAAACTCACTGCCATCAAGTTGAATCCAACTCATAGCAACCCCTCTTTGGGTTTCCGAGGCAGTATCACTATGGAAGTAGATTGCCCAACCTTCCTTCGGGGGGTGTGTCTGGTAGGTTTGAACCACCAGCCTGCTGGTTAATAGGCGGTAACAACAACAAAAAAAAACCCCACTAAACTTGTACTCATAGAGTTGATTACAACTCATGGTGAGCCATTGTGTTACAAAGTAGAACTGCTCCATAGTACTTTCTTGGCTATAATATTTATGGATGTTCATTGCCAGGCCTTCCTTCCATGGTACCACTGGGTGAGTTTGAACCATCAACTTTTAGGCTAGTAGCTGAAGGAAAACCACTTGCACCACTCAAGGATCTGTAAGTCCAATTTTATTCTTCTGCATGTGGCTGGCTACCCAGTTGTCCCAGAAGCATTTGTTGAAAAGCATTTCTCCATTGAAATATCTTGGCCTCTATGTTGAAAACCAGTTGACCATAGACACGTACATTTATTTCTTGGCTCTCAATTCTATTTATTGATCTATATGTCTATCCTTGGGTTACTAACACACTGTCTTTATTAATATTGTTTTGTAGTAAGTTTTGAAATCAAGATATTTGAGTCCTCCAACTTTGTTCTTTTTCAAAGTTGTTTTGCCTATTCTGGGTTCCCTGGAATTACATATGAATTTTAGGATAAATTTGTCAATTTCTACATAGAAGGCAGCAGGGATTCTGACAGGGATTGCATTGAATCTGAGATCAATTTGTGGAGTATTGTTATCTTAACAATACTGTCTTCTGATCAATGAACATAGGATATTTTTCCATTATTTAGATCTTCATTGATTTTTTTCAACAATATTTTGAAGTTTTCAGAGTATAAGTTTTGCCTTTCTTTGTTTAAATTTATTCCAAAGTATTTGATATTTTATGTTTTGTTAGTGGAATTGTTTTCTTAATTTCATTTTCAGATTGTTCCTTGCTAGTGTATAGAAATAGAATTTATTTTTAAATCTTGCTCTTGTATCCTGCAAACTTGCTGGACTTGTTTATTTGTTTTCATATTTTTTTTAGTGGATTCCTTAAGATTTTCTGTATACAAGATGATGTCGTCTGTGAATAAAGATAATTTTACTTCTTCCTTTTCAATATGAATGATTTTTCTTTCTTTCTTTTTTTAATTGCCTTTTGCTTCTGTCTTAAAAGAAGTACAGCAGAATGATCCTTACACACAAGAAAGGCCAGACTTTGTCTTATGTATGTTGGTCATATTGTCAGAAGGGACCAGTCCCAGAAGAAGGATGTCATACTTGGTAAAGTAGAGGGTGATCAAAAAAAAAAAAAAAAAAAGGGGGAAGACACTCAATGAGATGGATTGACACAGTGGCTAAAACTAGGGTTTCAAACTAATCTAAACTAAGGTATAGATTGTGAGGATGGCGCAGGACCAGGCAGAGATGATTTATTCTGTTGCACATAGGGTCTCTATGAGTCAGAACTGGTTTGAAGGTACCTAACAACAATAACAACAACAATCACCCCAGTTAGACCTTCCTGTACAATATTGAATAGAAGTGGTAAGAACAGACATCTTTGTCTTATTCCAGATCTTTCAACATTAAGTATGAAATAATCTTTGGTTTTTCCAAGATGACCTTTGTCATATTAAGGAAGCTCCTTGCTATTCCTAGTTTGTTAAGT